TGCAACAATGGGCTCAAGTATAGCAAGGATCATGGAGCTGGTGTGGGATCGGACAGTGTTTCGTTCTGCTGTGCATGGGGTCACTATGAGTCGGAAACGACTCGACAGCACCTAACAACAACAACAACAACAGGGGATATGAGGTGATATCTCATTGTGGTTTAATTTATATCTCCTTGATTACTAATGATATTGAACATCCTTTCATGTACTTATGGCTATTCTTGTCTTCTCTGGAAAAATGGCTGTTCAAATCCTTTCCCCATTTTCAAATTGGTTATTTGTCTATTATTGCATTAATTATACATTCTGTATACAAGTCCCTTATCAGATATTGTTTTGGTTACCTAGTGCCACTCTGACAGAAATATACCACAAATGGGATGGCCTTAACAGACAGGAGTTTATTCTCTTACAGTTTGGAGGCTTTAAGTCCGAGTTCAAAGTGCCAGGCTCTAGGAGCTGGGTGAAAGTCCCTCAACCTTGGGGTCCAGCTCTGCCTCCTGCTCCTGGCCCACTGGAGCTAGAGACATTTCTTCACTCAGATAGCTTCTGGCTGCTGAGGCTGCCAAGCCCAAGGTTGGCAAGTAAAAAGGCACAGTCCTGATGTTACTAAACCACATGGCAGGCCATTAATTCAAGTCCATTATAAGTCCCAAGGTCGGCAGAGCATGGCAGGCTGCTGACCAACAACATGGCTACATGCAGGGTTCAAGGTGCCACAAGCTAGAGACCATTCCCAAGACTGCTGCTTATATATGGGAAGCAAACCACATACCCAAAGGCAGCTACTCAACTGCTCATAGTAGATTCCACCATGGAGTTGATTACCGGTCCCATCACGGTGAATCCTATATCCAGCTACCCAGCCACTCAACCAGTCCTAGCCAAGTTGACAGAAAAATATAACCATTACAAATATAAACCCAAACCCATTGTCATCAAGTCTTATGGCAACCCTATAGGACAGAGTAGATCTGTCCCATAGTGTTTCCAAGGCTATAAATCCTTATGAAAGCAGACTGCCCTGTCTTTCTCCTACAGTGCAGCTGGTGGGTTCAAACCACCAACATTTGGTTAGCAGTCTAATACTTTAGCCACTATACCACCAGAGCTCCTGTTACTAGATGATGTACAAATATTTTGTCTCATCTGTGATTGTCTTTTAACTTTCCTAGTGGTGCCCTTGAAGTACAAACTTTTTTTTATTTTGATGTAATCCAATTTATTTTTTGTCTTTTGTGCTTTTGGTGTCACATCTAAGAATCTATTGCATAGCCCTAGGTCATTATCTTTTCTTCTTGACACAACTCTCTTTGTGTGAATTTAGTCCAGTTGGCCTCTGAAGCTAGGAATTGTATGATGGAGAGGAGGAAGTACAGTATCTGACATCACAGGCACAAGTTTGTCAAATGTATTTATGAATCTGAAAAGAATGAAATGCCTGCTTCATGCAGCTTCTTTAACCTAAATGTGGTAGGTGACAGACTCATCACATTTGAATTCTTAAGAAATGTTTCCCTCTACTGTTTTCTTCTGGGTAAAATGAACCAACTCTTCACGATTCCTTCTATTCCTCAGATGACTCGACATCATTTCTGGAGTATTATTGTTAATTAGTTACTAACTAGTAACCTACTGCCATCGAGACAGGTCCAACTCACAGCGACCCCTCCTTGGGTTTCTGAGGCGATATCACTACGGAAGTAGATTGCCCAACCTGCCTTCTGGGGAGTGGCTGGTGGGTTTGAACCGCCAGCCTTCTGGTTAGCAGTCAGATGCCTTAAGCACTACACCACCAGAGCTGCCTACTAACTAGTAGAGGTGACTAAATTTGATATAGTTTATCATAATCATTAAGCAATCTTATAGAGCAGGATGAAAAATACTCATCAAACATTTAATGTACATACTTATTTAACAGTTATAAATGCTAGTCATTACTTGCCTCAGGCTGTCAGTACCCAAGTTTAATTATTTTTTAAAAAACTGACTTCCTTTTCACCATCATCTTCAAGTGTTGGACCAGATGACCTTAAAGCTTCTTTATAGCACTGAGCTTCTGTAAATCATATTTTATATATTTCTGTGTACTGACGTGGTGTTCTGGTTACCTAGTGCCTTTCTGACAAGAATATACCACAAATGGGATGGCCTTAACAAACAGGAGTTTATTCTCTTACAGTTTGGAGGCTTTAAGTCCGAGTTCAAAGTGCCAGGCTTCATGGGCTGGGTGAAAGACTCTCAACCTTGGGGTCCAGCTCTGCCTCCTGCTCCCAGCCCACTGGAACTAGAGGCATTTCTTCACTCAGACAGCTGTTGGCTGCTGAGGCTGCCAAGCCCAAGGTTGACAAGTAAAAAGGCACAGTCCCAATGTTACCAAACCACACGGCAGGCCATTAATTTAAATCCATTATAAGTCTTAAGGTCAGCAGAGCATGGCAGGCTGCTGAACAATGACACAGCTACATGCAGAGTCCAAGCATGCCCTATTGAGAGCATGGTTGAGTTCCTACAGTGTGTCAGGCAATATGCTTTGTGATGGGTCCTGAGGATAGAGCAGTAAACAAGACAGACAAGGTCCTTCACCATCAGAATTCTACGTACTTTTAAGTCATTTCATGGAGCAATTACATGCAGTTTGAAAATCTTGACTTAGATAACTTATCTAAAATAACTTTTATTTTTACCCTGTAGCCTTCTCTTTAAAAGGTAATTATGGATAGTAAAGAAAATTGTGTCTTTATTTTAAAATAGATAGAGGGATATTAAATCTTCACCCATATTTAAAGCCTCTGTTTAAAGTTAGGAGTAATGAGTAATTGAGACCTATATCTTTACTACTAATAAGTAACTGGTTTCTGAGTGACATTAAATATTACAGAATTTTATTTTCCTACCTATGATTTCATCTCTATATGGAAGGGAAGTTTCTTTTTTATATTTTAAGGATTCTAACTATGATAAGTACTATGTAGCTATATACATATATATGTAAATTTAGACACAATGCCTATAGTAATATGACTTCCATGAACGAATTGAGTATGTTTAAATCTAACTTGAATATAAGACTAACTTATCATAGGCTAATTAAATAAATCATATGCATAATAAAAGATTGAAGTCCTCATCTTTCTGTTACCAGAAACTGTTAGGAAGAAATAAAATATAAAATAAGCCACTGCCATCAAGTTGATTCTGACTCATAGTGATCCTGTAGGCCACAGTAGAACTGCCCATAGGGTTTCCAAGGCTGTAAATCATTGTGGAAGCAGACTGCCTCATCTTTCTTCTGCAGAGCAGCTAGTGGGTTCGAACTGCCAACCTTTTGGTTAGTTGCTCAATGCTTTAGCCACAGCTCTATCAGAGCTCCTGAAATAAAATATTACCAGATGCAATATATTTGATCTATCTGGTAGTAATGGTAAATAAGGCAATGGTAGTAATATCTTGTCATTTTTCTAAATATTATTCTTGCTTGAATAATTAAGTAACTTTGACTTTTCAATATAGTTAGGAATGGCTGCACATAAATTTTAGATGGAGATGTATATTGTTTCTTATATTAATTTAAGCATAATTTTCTAGGTTATTAATGATCCTATTCATGGCCACATTGAATTCCACCCTCTCCTCATCCGAATCATTGACACACCTCAATTTCAGCGGCTTCGATACATAAAACAGTTGGGAGGCAGTTACTACGTATTTCCTGGAGCTTCACACAACCGATTTGAGCACAGTCTGGGGTAAGAGAGAATTGGGAGTGGGGAAATAATAACATTACCTGCTCTGGCTCATGAAATAATTGTCTAATTTTATCATGTAGAGAATAAATAACTTTATAAAATGGTAGTAATATCATTATTTTATTGATAAGAACATTGAGGCTTTTGATATACCTTACTGTATTTTATATATTTTATGTATTCTTGTAAGCCACCTGAGAACCTTCCTGGAAAGATAATGAGAGTGCTTACTGATAGATCAGTTGTATGAAATATTTGTGTATGAGCTAGAAATTTTAAAAAATGAATGATTTAAAAGCTAATATTGTTGGTAACTGATGTAGCCAATCCTATGTTTGATTTGCAAAATTTTTCTGTAGTCCCTGTTTTGTCTTGTATAGAATTTCCTGGAGCTCTGGTAGCATAGTGCCTAAGGCACTTGACTGCTAACCAGAAGGCTGGCGGTTCAAACCCACCAGACACTCCTTGGAAGGAAGATGGGGCAATCTCCTTCCGTTGTGATACTGCCTCAGAAACCCAAGGAGGGGTCACTATGAGTCGGGTCCGACTCAACAGCACATAACAACAACAAAACAATGAGGAAATGTATGTCAGAAAAACAAACACAAGGTTAGAGAAGGTAATGCCTTCTCTTATGTAAACTAAGTTATATAAACTAGCTTATATAAAACTAAGTTGAGACTTTGATCTCCTTTTGGTTTATAAAATGTAGAGCCAAAAAGACATGGACAGGGAAGAACTGGACAGTTTTTCAGATTTTCATGAAGTACATTAGTTTGTTCTTTGTTTTTTGTTTTGAAACATTTTTTATTAGCCAGAATACATGTGTTTGTACTCAAATGTTCATTTATTCTTTAATAAATATTTGGTGAACACTAACCAGATCTTCTAAACACAAAATAAGTTAAAAAAAATTTCTCTATGTTCATGTAGCTCCTTAATGATACTGGGATTTTATATATGTTCTTGTCCAGTTCTGAAATAGACTCTTCTGTAAAGTTGCCTTAGAGATACATTAGCAGAATCCGGGACATATATTAAAGCTTTTGAAGACCACAGATATCACTCATGTTTTCAAATGGAGGAGTGACTCTTTGTTTTCTTTGCTGTGCAGGGTAGGGTATCTAGCAGGCTGCCTCGTTCGTGTGCTGCATGAAAAACAACCAGAGCTGCAGATAACTGAGCGGGATATGCTCTGTGTTCAGATTGCAGGGCTCTGTCATGATTTAGGTAAGCTGTACAAAGGTCCAAAGTTGTGATGTAAGACTGTAATCTATGTTACCACTCTTTGAAGTGGGAAAATCAAGCTAACCAAGAGAACTATGGAGGTTCTGTTTCAAGTATTTACCATCAATATAAATGTGCCATTGCTTCTTCCGAGAGTGATTCATAAACCCTACACTACTCATGGTAAGCGAAAACCATTGCTGTTGGGTCACTTCTGACTCAGTACTCTCTGTATAGGACAGGGTAGAACAACTCCATAGTGTTTCCGAGCTACAAATCTTTATGGAAGCAGGTGACCACATCTTTCTCTAGTGTCATAAATGCAAAGTATTTCTATTTTATTTTCTTGTAGTCCTTCAGTGAATTTTCCATGTAAACATCTTTGCTATGAGTTATAGAAAAAAACTTTCCAAATAGTGAGGTTTTCAGATCATTGTGTTTAGGATGGTGTGAATTTGATTTTTCTTTTATACTTATTGAATAAAATTGCCATTTTTCCTTTCATTACTTTGTCAAATCAAATTCATTCTTTTTATACCTAGAATACCTAATCTGATTTAGCAAATTAACAGATTTAAAGAACTCCTTTTCTTTCTGGACCCATGTGTGGTCTTGGTCAGCTTGAATCCAAATAGAAAGATACTGTCCCTTTCCTTTGACAAAGAGAAAACAACGTGTCCTTGACAACTGCAATCGCAGGAGTTTCTATCCTTATCTTTGTAGTTAATTTACCTCATAGGGGAGTCTGAGAGTTACTGTTGGGGGGAAGTGTCCCTGTTTCAATGAGCAGATACTTAAACAGGCAAGGTAGAATACTCTTTTTTATAAGCTACCCTGGACAGGTTATTCCCATAAGAGCTCTCAATAGGACCAGTGCCACCTTCTGGATAATAAATGTAACAGGTTCTTGGCATTTGGGAAGGGAATCATCTGGAAACCTTTGCTGTTGTTGTGTTGCTGTATGCCTTCGAGTCGGACCTGACTCCTTGGGTTTCTGAGGCAGTGTCACTACGGAAGTAGATTGCTCAACCTTCCTTCCGAGGAGTGGTTAGTGGGTTTGAACCACCAGCCTTCTGGTTAGCAGTCAAGTGCCTTAGGCACTACACTACCAGAGCTTTGCTAGTACCCAGAAATCTAAGCCCTGCAGTAATGACCCTTTATGCACAGACTGATACTGCACCAAAAGCTCAGGGTTGGTCCAGGAGGTCCAGAGACAGCCTTAATATGTGTATGTGTTATTGTTGTTGTTATGTGCCGTGGAGTCGGACCCGACTCATAGCGACCCCTCCTTGGGTTTCCGAGGCGGTATCACTATGGAAATAGATTGCCCAACCTTCCTTCAGAGGAGTGGCTGGTGGGTGTGAACCGCCAGCCTTCTGGTTAGCAGTCAAGTGTGTTAGGCACTATGCTACCAGAGTTCCTTTAATATGTGTATGTTTATTCTAAAATATATTATGTGTATTATAAATATGCATAAAGATAGATGTTTTTAAAGGAATGAGAGTAATAAAGTTCTGAATATTCTTTTCTGCACCCCATTGGTGGATTGTCCTATAATTTCTCTTCTAATCCACAAGTACTCAGCCTGAAGATTCCAAAAGTTAACATGCCTTTAACATTAATATTCCTTTAAGTTAACACAAAACAGGTCTAAGCTTTGGTGACTCTGAGGCTGCTCTATGGGGAGCTTACTTTTCTATATTGTCTGCTTCCTGTTCTCTTGTTTTAGAAAATAGGAAGGAAACATTGTTCCCTTTTGTGGTATATTTCTAGATTATTAATTTCTGTTGATAGTCATGTTGAACTAAGGAAACAGAAAAATGAATCCCATTTTTACCAATTTACAAACATTTTTCTTGTTTCTAAGGCTGCTTTTATTTTTAAGGTCATGGGCCATTTTCTCACTTGTTTGATGGAAGATTTATTCCACTTGCTTGCCCAGAGGTAAAATGGACGGTATGTATTCATATATTTGATATGTTTTTTTAAAAAAAAGACTATTTAAGAGGGTTATTAAATTATCTGTTTGGTTCCACTGTTGTGTTATAGTGTTTCCCATTATCGTTTTCAGGTGTGTGTGTATGTATTTATTTTTATTATTATTATTATTATTATTTTATCCTCACAGAAATTTGTAAGAAAGAATCATTATCTCCCTTTTACAAGTGAGGAAACTCGAAGTGCATAGAAGTGTATTGATGTACCCCAAGTCACAACACTGGTAAATGGTAGAGCCAACAGTAAAAAACCAGGTTTCTTGGCTGCCAATTCAGTACTCTTTCTACTCTTTTACACTACTGTAAAAGAAGAACATAAAAGGTCAACTCTGTTACACTACTGTAAAAGAAGAACATAAAAGGTCAACTCTGTTACACTACTGTAAAAGAAGAACATAAAAGGTCAACTCTGTTACACTACTGTAAAAGAAGAACCTAAAAGGTCAACTCTAGTTTTGACTCCATTGGTATCACCATGAAGTAACTAATACCAGCTGAGTTTTATCATATATATTAAATTAACCATTTTACAATTAGGCATTTGCACATTGCTGACCCCTACTTTTGCATTTTTTAAAAATAAATTTGAAGTTAAGTAAGGTTTGCTTCCCCTGCCCCACCCCCAGTTTTTAATCATACTGTCTTTCTGGAAACTGGAGTCAAAAGGGTATTAATATATATTAGAAGTTTATTATATGTCAACTACTGTTTTCTGTGTGTGTGTTTAAGGTATAATTCATGTACAATAAATTTTATCTTAATTGTATAGTTCAGTGAGTTTTGACAGATTTATACATCCATGTAACCACTACCCATTCTGTTGTACTTAGGATTGCTATGAGTCAAAATCAACTCTATGGCACTTAATTTGAACCAGTACACACATCAGAATATAGAACATTTTTACCTTCCTGGAAAATTGACTGTGCCCTTTTCCAGTTAATTTTACTCTTCCCCCCACCATCACCTTCTGATTTTTACAAACATTGATTTGTTGAATCTGTTCTTAGACGTAATGTAAATAGAATGATACACATGTTTTTATCTGTCATGACATTGCCATTTCTTTTGAAGAATATAAGCAAGTTACTTTTTAAAATGTCCCTCAGTTTGACTTAGCGTTTGTGTGATACTTTCTCATAGATTCAGACTATGCATTTTTGGCAAAAATGCCCGAGAAGCAATATTGTGTCCTTACAGCATCATGTCAGCAGGCACATAAAATCTGTTTGAGTTACTTTTACTGGTGATCATTTGGTTATATCAGTCCCTATCTTATTTATTCTCTATAAAATTACTATTAATCCTCTTTGTAATCAGTATGTGATTTTATGTTGTTTTTTAGAAATAATCATAAGACCATTTAGGTTTCAATTTTCATGTAGAGGCAGTTTTGATTAAGAATTGGGATGGGGCAGATGTCTCCAGAGGGTTGTTTGAGCTTTATAATGATTGTGAGTGGGGAAGTAAGTAGAAACAGGTGAGCAAACTGAGGCTGATTTGACATTCCAATCAGGAGTTTCAAGAGTTTCAAAATGGTTCAGTAATTGCTGCTGTAAGCACAGACAGTGTATGCATTACATAGAAACCAAATCTGTTGCCTGTAGTATTTTGACCCAAGTAGGAAACAAACAGCTGTGCCTGATCAGAGGTGGTAGCCAAATGCACAGCTTTGAATGTGTGTTCCTCTCTAGAGCCCTGCCATTAATCCAATCTTCCACATGAGACTCCTGAAACTTTTAGGAGGAAGGGCTGTTACAGCATTTTTGGAGAGCAGCATTATTGGCAAGACCGAGCAGAGCAACACACATTCAGTGTGGCATGGTTGGCTGGAATCTTTGAACTGGCACATCTGTTTGTTTCATCCTTGGGGTAGTATAGTAGTTAAGGTTATTTGTCGACTTGGCTGGGCCTAGTTTTGAGTGGCTGGGCAGCTAGTGGTAGTTACTCCCCATGATGAGACTGGCAATCAACTCCATGGTGGAGTCTGCTGCCAGTAGTTGAGTAGCTGCTTTAAGGATATGGTCCACTTTTTGTATATAAGGAGAAGCTTTGGGAATGGTCTGTAGTTTTTGGCATGCTTGAATCCTGCATGTAGTTGAGTCGTTATTCAGCAGCCTGCCATGTGTTTTGCCAATCCTGGGACTCTTTCTGGATTTGAATTCGTGGGCTGCCATGTTGTTTGATAATCTTGGAACTATGCCTTTTTATTTGTTGTCCCTGGGTTTGTCAGCCTCAGCAGAGCCAGCAGCTGCCTGAGTGAACCAAGCCTCCAGCTTCAATGGGCCGGGAGCAAGAGGCAGAGCTGAAGCCCAAGGTTGAGGGGCTTTCACTCAGTCCCTAGAGTCTGGCACTTTGAACTTGGACTTCTAGCCTTCAAAACTGTTAGAGAATAATAAATCTGTTTGTTCAAACCACCCATTTGTGGTATTTTTTGTTAGAGTGGCACAAAGTAACCAAAACAGTCAGATAACATAGACAACAGATTTGGTTGCACACTGAATGTGTGTTGCTCTGCACGGTCTTGCCAGTAATGTTGCTCTCCAAAAATGCTGCAACAGTTCTTCTTCCTAAAAGTTTCAGGAACCTCATGTGGAAGATTGGATTACTGGCAGGACTCTGGAGAGCAGTGCACATTCAAAGCTGTGCATTTGGCTACCACCTCTGATCAGGCACAGCTGTTTGTCAAGTTCATACAGGCCCTTATTTATGATGGCAATTACTGAACAGCTGTGAATGTGTTCAAAGTCCTAATTCTAATCCAGATCTTGACTTCAGAACCCTTTGATACACTTTTAAGTTTGTTTTCACTGGCAAGTTTGAAATAATGTCTTTTCAGCACTAGATGGAATTGCTAACAGAGCCTTTAACTTCACATGTTCTAATACTGGTTAAACAGTAGAAGTGAATTTTACAGTGGTTTTCATTAAAATGGAATTCTACCTTTCTGATATGGTAATATGCTTCTAGGCACTGTAAATTATTATATTTCATCAAATGTATTGAATATATTTATGAAATAATGAAAGTGGTTTGTAGAAGACTGTGTAGATTAGTAGAACATCAACAAATTTTGACAGGCTTTAAAAAATATCTGAAAGAGTGTAGTTGAAAACTAGATAGTTAACCTGCAGTAGAACCATATCTCTGACTTACTTGGACTCAATTTTGATAATCTGGAGCCCTAATAGGCCAGAATCTGTAATAGACTATAGTATGCTGATTTTTTTGTAGCACGAACAGGCCTCAGTCAAGATGTTTGAGCACCTAGTTGATTCTAATGGACTCAGAGAAGTCATGGAACACTATGGTCTTATCCCTAAAGAAGATGTTTATTTTATTAAGGAATTAATTATAGGACCACTTGAATCCTGCAACCAAGAGTCTGTGGTAAGTTTGTGTACCATTAACTTTGAACTGACTGATTCTTTTCGTCTGGTCTTTTCTTGATTCTTTCAAATTTACTCATTTGCCTATTTCAGAGGGACTAAGTGATAATGTATAAGTTATATACTTCTACTGCTTAATGCAAAAAATGAAAGACTTTTTTTCCTCTTAACTGAGTTATTTAAAAATTACCCCTCAATATCAAACTCCATTGGCATAACATAGTACATAAAAAGATTGTTCTACATTCTACTTTGGTGAGTAACAAGTGGGGTCTTAAAAGCTTGCGAAGCATCATCTAAGTTGCAACAGTTGGTTTCTTCTTGTCCAAAGCAAAGAAGAATGAAGACACTCAAGGATGCATGCAAACAATTAGTCCAAGGGACTATTGTACCATGCAGAGTTCAGCCTACCTGACCCTAAGACCAGAACAAGATGGTACCCAGTTACCACTGTCAGCCAGTGGGAAAGGGATCAAAATAGGAGATTCTGGATAGAGTGGGAGAAAAATGTGGAACAGAACTCAAAATCATAAAAAAAAAAAAAAAAAGACCAGGCTTACTGGTCTGATAGAGACTGCTAAAACCCCCAAGACTATGTATGGCCCCTAGTCACCCTTTGGGCCTGGAATTAGACTCACTGCTATGGCTTCCAGCCAAACAATAGACAGGCTACAAGGTGATCATAGGTATACTCCTTAGAACAATCAACTCTGGGAGACCAGAAGGGCAGCATTTGCACAAGGAGATAACTCAGAGGGCAGGTATGCATAGAAAAGAAAGACACAGGGAATCCATAGGAAGAAGTAATGATAAGAAAGAAGTGGGAAAGGAGCTTTTACAATGTAATCAATGTCATAAAACAAAAAGTGTATGAAATATTGAATTGAAAATAAATTTGCTCTGTAAACTTTCACCCAAATCACAATTAAAAAAAAAAAAAAAAGTCTACTAGAATTAATGATTTAGTTTAGCAAGTTTGTAGGATAAAACCCAAAACCAAGCCCACTGCCATCTAGTGGATTCTGACTCAGAGTGATCCTATGATACAGAGTAGAAGTGCCCCACAAGGTTTCCAAGACTATGGGTCTTTCATCTTTCTCCCACAGAGCAACTAATGGATTGGAATTGTACTATAAGTACCCTCCTTAGGACAATCAACTATGGTAAATGAGAAGGGCAGCATTTGCACAGGGAAGAGGGCAGGAATGCATAGGAAAGTTCACAGGGAAAAGGTAACCACAGGGAGGAAATGGAATGATTGCTGTTACATTGTGGGGATTACAGTCAATGTCATGAAACAAAACATGTATGAATTGTTGAATGAAAAACTAATTTGCTCTGTAAACTTTCACTCAAATCACAAGAAAAACATTAAAAGAAAAAGTATATAAATCTTTTAAAATAAATATACATGCAGTATTTTCTATAGAAATCTAAAGTAACTTTGTTTCAAAATATAAAAGTGTAGGTCTTGTTTATGCATTAAAATGAACCTGGAAACGACTCTATGGCAGTGAGTTTGGATTTTTGGTTTATTTGAAATATTTAGATATATGAAGACCTGGAAGAATTTGAATGTCTTCAGAAGAAATCTATTTATTTTTGCATCTTTGTCTCTCTCTCTTTTTTTTTTTTTTTAATTAAAAAAAGAAATTGGAAAATAATTTTCCCTGAGGTTCTTACGGTTGTTTCCTCAAATGTATACATACAACTCTAGTTTTAACATGTAAGATAAAGAGAGGGAATTTGCAGCCAATATCATATTTCCAAAAGTAGACCTCCAAAAATACTTTGAACAATGCATGTTATTTAGATTAGGTGTGTAGCTGCTTTCACACAGTAAAGTTTTGACTGCATGAATTCAAGCATTATCAGTGAAAGATTCTTCTTAATACTTCACAGTTAGATCCTTTTTTTTTTTTAATTGTTAAATCAAGCATACAAGCTTATTGATAGTGGGAAGTGTAATAGACTTTTGATCCTTTTGTTGACACAGAAAGTATAGTATTACTAGGATATCATATACATTAGCTTTTCTCTCCCCTTTCTACTAATACAGAAATCTAATAAAGAAAACAAAGAACAGAACCTTCTAACTTACTTCATGTTCCTAGTCAAGTATCCATTTAATACAGTTGCTTTGCCTTGCTTGTATATAGATTTGGTTCCTACCCTAAAACTTTCAGTGGGTTTCCTCTCTTCCAGTGGACATATAAAGGGCGTCCGAAAGAGAAAAGCTTCCTCTATGAGATTGTGGCTAATAAAAGAAATGGCATCGATGTGGACAAATGGGATTATTTTGCCAGGTATGCACTGAACACTTAGAGGAGTTTGTTGAAATCTACATATAAATTTAGTGTTAGTATTTCAGGTACAGTTTCCTTGTCGAAAAATTTTCTCCCTCTATCTCTGGAATATCTTTAGGGACTGCCATCATCTCGGAATCCAAAATAATTTTGATCACAAGCGCTTTATCAAGTTTGCCCGTGTCTGTGAAGTAGATAAGAAGAAGCATATTTGTACTAGAAATAAGGTAAGCTATGAGGAAACAATGAGGATGTTGTAGTTTCTGGTCTGAAATCTAGAAATAACCACTCAAGAGTTTGGAAAACTCAGTATGTGGTAAACAGTCAACCTCTTCATGCTTAGCCTTTGTAAGTATGTTAAGGCTCTTTTCTCTTGCATGGTTAAATAACAAAAATTACTGTCAATATTTATTGAATGTTGTGCTAGGCACTGTTATAAGTGCTTTACATGAATTAACTCAATTCCCAGAACCCTGTGAGTTGGATATTATCATTACTCCATTGAAGAGATGAGCAAATTGAGGCACAGAGAAGACATTACAATTGATAAGTGGCAAAGCTACAATTTCAACCTACTTTAGCTTCAGAAAGGAGCTCTGGTAGCATAGTGACTAAGGCATCTGACTGCTAATCAGAAGGTTGGTGGTTCAAACCCACCATGCACACTGCAGAAGCAAGAGTGGGCATTCTACTTCCATAAAGATTTACTGCCTCGGAAACCCAATGGGGGTTGCTATGAGTCAGAATCGACTCGATGGCAGTGGGTTTGGTTTGGTTTGTTTTTTCAGCTCCAGAACCTCATCATTAATTGCTGCATTAGTGTTTCAGAAGAATTAAAATCCTGAAATCTTTAGGTCCCTGCTAGATTACAGATGTGTAACTAGACTAACACTGTATTGTACTATTGAGAGTGTTGAGAGTGAAGGGTAATAATACCTATTTCCTAGAGTTGGGAGGATTCAAAGAAATGTTAGATTTAAGATGCCTAGAACAGAACCTGTGACAGTTAGAGCACTCAATTAGGTTTTAGTTTACTATTAATCAGTAAGACTGAAGTTGCAAACCAATAAATAGCTTTAGTGCTCTGCCTCCCAATATCTGTAGGCTCAGGGACTTTAACGAGGTAGCCCTGTGTGTAGCCTTCTCATCTGCCACTGTCCGTTTTCCTTATTTTATAGACTTGTAATCTCACAAGGTTAACATAATCTGATACTGCATTAATATTTATTACATATTTTCCTACAGGAAGCTTGGAATCTCTATGACATGTTCCACATACGCAACTGTTTACACCGCAGAGCTTACCAACACAGAGTTGGTAATATCATTGAAACCATGTAAGATATGTGATTGTTATTTCCCTGTAAAGGCTCTCCTGGACTTGTTTTAATTGTCTTCATCTTCAACTTGAACTTGCTTCTGAGCAACTGATGCTCCACTGATGATTCCATAGTCTGCTCCTGGCCTTGTTTTGGCTAAAGATACTGAGCTTCTTCCCTCACCTCTTTCCACAGATGTGGAAATCTGATTCCTGTGTACTCCATGTATAGCTGTTGTTTGTGTTGTTGAAAAAAGGTATTTGCAATGAATAAGTCACTGGTCTTGCAGAATTCTATCATGTGATCCCCGGCTTTATTTCTACCCCCAAGGCCATATTTTCCAACTACTAGTGATTCTTCTTTATTTCCAACTTTTGCATTTCAATCACCAGTGATAATCAGCACATCTTGATTGCATGTTTGGTCAATTTCAGACTGTAGAAGTTGGTAAAAATCTTCAGTTTCCCCACCTTTGGCTTTGGTGGTTGGTGTGTAAATTTGAATAATAGTAGTATTAGGTGGTCTTCCATGTAGGTATATGGATATTATCCTATCATTGTCAGCATTGTACTTCAGATAGATCTTTAAATGTTCTTTGTGATGAATGCCACACCATTCCCACCATAGTAGATCATATGGATGTCTGATTCAAAATGGCCAGAACCAGTCCATTTCAGCTCACTAATGCCTAGGATATCTATCTTTATGGGTTCCATTTCATTTCTGAGAACTTCCAATTTTCCTAGATTCATACTTCGGCCATTCCATGTTCCGATTATTAATGGATGTTTGCAGCTGTTTCTTTCCATTTTGAGTCATGCCACATCAGCAAATGGGGATCCCAAAAGCTTTACTCCAGCCACATCATTAAGGTCAGCTCTGAGGAGGCAGCTCCTCCCCAGTCATACTTTGAGTGCCTTCTGACCTGAGAGGCTCATCTTCCGGCACTATGTCAGACAATATTTCAGGGCTATTCATAAGGTTTTCCAGTAATAACATCAGGCAGTGTTTCACTGCTATTCATAAGGCTATCACTGGCCAATTCTTTGAGAAGTGGATGGCCCCTTCCTTCTTCTGAGTCTGTCTTAGTCTGGAAGCTCTGCTGAAACCTGTCTACCAGGAGTGATCCTGCTGGTATTTGAAATACCATTGGCATAGCCTCCAGCCTCACAGTAACATGCAAGCCACAACAGTATGGCAAACTGTAAAACCAACATTTCTTTTCTCCAATTGGATCAGAACCATAGCAGAGAAGTATAGCCAAGTCTCTGTGTGACTCATAGATCCCTTGTGAAGTTACCAAAAGTTGGATATAGTAATTCCATGTCTCTAAGATAGCTTTAGGTTGATTTATTATAAACCTTTGGACACATACTCATTTTTACATTTACATTGAGGACATTTCACTTTGTTTCTTTTTTCTTTTTATTTTTATATGAACTGACTCGTTAGGATACATTATCCTATTTGTGTGAATGATAATTTGGTAAGATTTTTTTTTTTTTCTCTTTTTCAGTTTGGAGAAATCTAGGTTTAAAGCCTGGCACTGCTTCTTCCTAACTTGATTAAATGCAAATTATTTAATTGCTGCATCTGTAAAATTGGGTCTTACCTTATGGTTGAAAATAATAACTAATATATCTAAAGCCCTGCTGCAGCACCTGGGAAATAGTAAGCATGATAGCTCGTAAGAACATGTACTTATTTAGCATGATTGAGAAGGATTTGTCTTTCTAATGTCATCCCTCAAGATTTTATATCCCTAATGTAGAAAGAGGGAGCTCTGGTAGCATAGTGCCTCAGACACTTGACTGCTAACCAGAAGGCTGGTGGTTCAAATCTACCAGCCACTCCTCGGAAGGAAGATGGGGCAATCTACTTCCACAGTGATACTGCCTCAGGAACCCAAGGAGGGGCTGCTATGAGTTGGGTCCAACTCCATGGCATATAACAACAACAACAACAATGTAGAAAGATCCCCTTATATTTAAGCAACACTTAAAGCAATATTCACAATATTCATAATTTCTCACAAGCATAAATTTTTACAAAATGATCATCTTTAGGATTACAGATGCTTTCCTTGAAGCAGACCCCCACATAGAGATTACAGGTGCTGAAGGAAAAAAGTATCACATTTCTACAGCAATTGATGACATGGAAGCCTTCACTAAACTAACAGGTAAGAACTAGAAGATAACATAAATGGTCCATCTCAGATAAAATGTAGGCTGTTCCTGGCTTAAAGATGGTTTATTCCTGGCTTAAAATGGTTTATTTCCCAAGCATACAAATATATATCAGGTTACCAAGTGATTACATACTTTTGAGTTTGAGTGTTAGCTCTGACTTTTACTAATAAGGTAACTTTGACAAAAATTTAATCTCTCTGAACCTTGATTTTCTCCTTTTATAAATGAGGGAAATTATATCTAGCACATAACTTTGTTGTGACACTTAAATAAAGTATGTTGTCATTGTGTGCCATTGAGTGGATTCCGACTCATAGCAACCCAGTGTGACAAAGTAGAATTGCCCAATTGCCCATAGGGTTTCCTAGGCTGTTATCTCTAGGGACCCAATTGTCAGATCTTTTCTCCCACAGAGCTGCTGGTAGGTTCGAACTGCTGACCTCTCAACCAATGAGCACTTAACCACTGTTCCACCAGGGCTCCTACTTGAAACATTAATACCAGTATCCCTTGCTTTTTGAAAGTTAGTTTTACACCACTTTACTTTTATGAAAACCTCCATTAGTGCTTATATTTGCTAAAAGATAGAAATTCAAACAGGATTTCACTTTTACGAGAAAAGATGAAAAGGCAAAAATAGTGCCCAGCGCTTGTTTTGCAGTGAGCTGTTAAGAGGCAACACACAGCCCGAGCAGTGAGAGCAGCATTGCTGAGCTCCTTCCCGGGGTCAGCATCAAGCTACACTAGTTTGTAGGTTTTATTTTATGTGTTATTTGGTTGATTTGGTAGGTTGATTTTGGGTCTGATAATGCTCAAAAATTTTTCCCATATAAATTAATGGCAATTGTTTCTTCACTTTACACCATTTCAGCTTAGGAAAGGTTTCATAGGAACACTGTACTTTTAGATAGCAGGAAACCCCTGTATATTTATTTGACTGCTAACCAAAAGGCCAGCAGTTCAAACCCACCAGCTGCTCCACAGGAAAAATATGAGGCAGTCTGCTTCTGTAAAAAATTTACAGCCTCGGAAACCCTGTGTGGGTCACTATGAATCAGAATTGGATCGATGACAGTGGTTTGGTTTTTGAGTATTATTTCATTCATAATGCAGCTGGTCTAATAACATACTAATACCAAAAACCAGCTCACTCTTTTCTCATTATTGTCGTTATAAAACACAGAATGCAAAACATAGGAAAGTCTCTCCTTATTTCTATAGAACCACTATCTGATGCTTACAGTGAGCAGGAAGGAAGAGAGATGAAGGGTGGTAGCCAGTTATTTAATGGAGAAAAGTCTAGATTGAGAAATAAAAGTCATTAAAACAAGAGAAGTGGAACACAAAGATATACCTGCAAAGCTATTAGGTGCACATCATGAAACTGTTTAGCTAAAATTAAAGTTAGAAAACAGTCACACAACTTACAGAATCAGCAGGAAGCCTGGAAGCTCTGAAAATGGACAAAAACAAAATGAGCCCAGTGGCCTCAGACATAGCATCCTACCTAGGGTCCCACTGCTGTCCCATCACTGCTAGATTTTGTTTGCAGCTCACTGTCAGAAGGAGTAACAGTTTATCTCAGACTGTCTTTGAAGAACCAATTTTCTTTATTTCCAACCCCTCACAGATTGATACTTTTGTAAAATATTATATAAATGAATTACTAGAAAAATGAAATGAAAAGAAGACATAAAATACAAGCCCAGATTATTATTATTATTGAATTCGACAGTATTAACATTATATTCAGTTAATGTAATAGAAACACAATAGAGAAAAATAAAAGAATTACAAAAACTATACATGTTGTTCTTTTAAAATACACATGTAAGTAATAGATAATCACTACTGCACATGTGATATTTTAATAATTTTGCAAGCATAGCAAAACCAAAAATTAGAAGGTCATTGTAATTCCCCATATTAAATGTCTTTGTACACTCTGAGAACACTATGTATTTATCTAATTTAGGTTGGACTGATGACAAAAGTTACTTGCAGGGGATAAAATACATCTAAATTGTTTCTACATTTTGTTTTACTAACATCATAGTAGATAAGCTAGTTTTTTGTGGTTATAGTCACAGGAATGGAAGAAAATTTAAAGCCATTTGAACAAGCTAGGGATATTCGTTGTTAAATTTTATCCATAATGAAGCAATTGACACTGTATTTTAAAAATTCATCTTTAATCCTTCATCAGAAGCCAGTTCTAACTATTTATCTTCTGAAGTTATATTTACATTTAAATTATCTTTTGGTGAAGGAAATGAATTTTGGATTTTGTATACTTTTGGCTCAGTTGACTAACCTTCAAATACCATACATTGAATTGTGGCCCTACTGCTCCTGACTGGTATAGAGTTCTCACTTACTGTTGATGTTCTGAAACCCCCAAACTGGTTTTTACCCTATTCAGGAGATGGTGGTCATGTATTTGGATTTTGTAGCAATGTCCAATTGCTATAAAACTCTCTAAGTGCTTACCAACAATTTCTATCCTTAACCCTATAAACTGGGAGCTCTAGTATCGTAGTGCCTAAGGCACTTAACTGCTAACCAGAAGGCTGGCTGTTCAAACCCACCAGCCACTCCTCGGAAAGAAGGTTGGGCAATCTACTTCCGTAGTGATACTGCCTCGGAAACCCAAGGGGAGGGGGTTGCTATGAGTCAGGTGTGACTTGATGGCACATACTAACACAATAAGCAACAACCCTACAGACTAGTTAACAAGCTTGTATACAAGCACTGGCCCAAAGATCACACCTTGAAGTAGCAGTGATCTAAACTATACTTGTGTCTTGGCATCATTTGCTCCAGGGACAATATCCCAAAGAACAGATTAGGTCCCATTTTTGTGCTTTACCGGCTGGAGTATGGGAGACCAAGCATACACCTTGTCCATCTCTCATTATTAGGTGAGGATGATGTTCCTTTCTTACACATTATTCTGAGCAGTGTTGTTATCTGCTTGCAAGTTGGAGATGGGTTTAAGCCACCAATCTTTAGGTTAGCAGTTGTGCACAAACCACCTTAATTACATGACCTTAAAGGAGGAAGACCATCAGGACCTGCATTACCTTTGTTATTATCCATTTCCAAGTCAGCTCATCTTGTCTTTGTTTAAACATTACTACTTTGTCTTGTTGGTTGGTTAGTTTTTTGGAATATTTTTCCACATTTTATTAGGAAGTGTTACAAGCACACAGCAATGTTGAAAGAATTTTACGTAAACACCTGTATCCCCACCACCTAAATTCTAGCATTTACTGCATGTTCTTTATCACATAGGTATCTGTTTACTATCCTTTTATCTATCTATTGTTGTTGTTGTTGTTATATGCCATCAAGTCAGACCTGACTCATAGCAACCCCTCCTTGTGTTTCCAAGGCGATATCACTACGGAAGTAGATTGCCCAACCTTCCTTCTGAGGATCTATTAGTCCATCTTAATTTTAATACATTTCAAAATAAAATGCAGTTATCAATATGTTTTACCCTAAGACCTTCAACATGCATGCTAACTAAAGATCAATAACTATTTATAGATTTTTTCTTTTGTTGTAAAATTTATATACAGTTTGTACAAATGTACATTTACTAGCGTTTTGACAAATGCAAAATATAGAACATTATCTTCCCAGAACACTGTAGTGTTTAGGGGTTGAAGGGTTATGACAGCTACAATTTTCAAGTGTTTCATAAAAGTTTGCCTCTGTCTATAGAGAAATAAAGGAGCTCTGGTAGCATAGTGCCTAAGGCACTTGACTGCTAACCAGAAGGCTGGCAGTTCAAACCCACCAGCCACTCCTC